TAGAGATTGAACTGAAATTTAATATACCGTCCTTTGCAATAACAATTTAATTTGGTATTAATGTTTTAACAACATCCACAAAAATTCGAAACACTTTATTTTGTACAATACATACCTATACATAATATCTCAAATGCAAATTATATTGTTGATGATAATAAAGCCCTAAAATAATTAAAAAAAAATAGCACAAAAAATTATTAGTATATTACAACCGAAGTGGGAAATCATTCGTCTCTGAAGAATTCAGTTTATATGATCGAAAGACGTAGCCTCGATGTCTGAGAAAGCCCAAATGTGTATTAAAATTCCCACGTAGATTTGTATGTCATTTTATTTTTATTCACAATCACAGTTTGTAATATTTGCAAAAAATTCATTTTTTGTAAGAAAAAACTATACAAAGTGGTGAACAAACTCAATTATTTCTATTAACGGAGAAAGTAAGTAGTGCGTGTCCTCCCTCGTGAATCGCACTTGAAATCTAATGATTTATCTATGAACTCTTAACTGAATAAAAAAATGAATGAACACAATTATTATACTCTACAAATATTTCCCGATCTAGAGATTTAATGACATAATTTCCACCTCCAAAAATTCAAATCTACTCCTGTCTCCCTTTGTAACAATTTTAAAATCTGATAAAAATTTTCCCCTTTTCAACTTTGTTTATCGCATTATAAAAATTCAAACCTCCCGACTTTTTCTCCCGTTTCCAAAGCAGAAACACAAACTTTTAATTACAACGCAAGAATGTCGTAAAACTCAAAGCGAAATTTGACACATTTGTTGTCGTCACAGACATTTAAGAAATCTCTAGTGTGTTAAAAAGACACCTGAGAGATTCGGCGACATTTATTCTCCTTAAATGGCAAAAAAAAATTATATTATTTCACGTTATAATTTTCTACGTACCTGCCTTTAAGTGTTTTTTTTTTCAACTTTGATAATAAATTTCGTGCATGCTTTGTTTATTTCGACATTAATCGATCCTGGTAGACAAAAGGGGAACCAGCTGATAGTGGAAAAGCGATGATTGGTGCTTTAATTACATTAGTTAGGCTTTGATCGAGCAAATTAAGCGAATTATTGTAATAACTAAATATTCAAAGCCTTATAAAATAGGAGAAGTGTTATTATAGTCGTGGGTTATAACTTGTATAGTTTCAGACTTTTTTATCTAAAACATCGCCAATCAATCGCAAAACAAGACCCCCTGGTCACAATTTTCCATTCAAAGTCTTCCAAGCATAAAAATGTTTCTGTAAAAAAATTACAACAGACACAAAGCCCACTTTATTAACCACGACGAGCCATTTTGTTCAAAATCTCCGACATAATTCCCTTGAAGCCGTTGAAAAATTCCATCCAATGAAAATTACGAGTCAACCTGAAGCGTAATCCTCTTCAAGTCGAATAATTTACCAAATTAGTTGTGAACAGTCACAGCACATTAGATTTAAATACGTCTCAATTACTTTAACGAGAACATCAATGTTAACATGTTTTACGTATAATTAATCAGAAAATATAAATTTTGTTTGTGAATACTGTGTGTATTCCCCGGTGTACTTTTGTTTGTCGTTTTGTATCCAAGCCAGAGAAGTCTCCAAGGAGGTGTTTGCTCGCATAACTACATCTTCTACGTATATTTCACGTCAATTCCTTTTTATCTCGCCCATTTCATTTCATATGTTCCACTTCATTTGCCACCTCTGTCGCTGAATCTCCGTATGCGTGATGCTGGAAATTCTTTTATTTCAAGTAAATAAATATTTTATTCATGATAAAGCACGTGCTGGTGGTGAAGATGAAGCGAAAGCCTTGACCCTATTCGTGTGATTACCTTCGAAGCTCTATTTACAAGAAGGAAAAAAACAATATAATCCACCCTCATTGGTTTATGTTTTTTCGAGAGTTGAGTATTAAACGAGTTCGATTTACACAAGAAAGAATCTCGCATATATTATTCTTAAAGGGAAACGATGAACGTTTACGTTCGAGTGACTCGAGAAACCTAAGTAAATTTACTTTGTCTTCCAATTTTACAGATTAAATCCGAATTTTTTCGCATTTATTGAAAACAAAAACAAAGATTAAGACGCCAAAGTCACCAAATCCTCTTTTACATCATTCAACTCTGAAAAATGCGTCCACGTCAAAAACTAGATATTATCTCTGGATGAATATGCACGAGACAGACCCTCCATTGTTACCACAGTCGGTAACTAAATTGCGGTTATTTGACATGCGGGAAGTCAGTTTCGATATTCCTTTCCCCTCAAATAACATTTCAATCAATATCGGATCATTCACAGTTAGAAAAAGCAATTAATTCCTTCAAACACAATCGACCCAATTGTACCACACTATAAAACAATTCATTGTGCACAAGTCGTTTCCAATATTTCTTTTCGTTGCCTCGTAAACTTGTGTACATTGACGTTATCATCGGACGCCGTTTTAGTGTTAAGGGACCGATTTTCACCCTCGAGAGAGAGAAAGTTTGGACGTTTTCATATCAGTTTTATATTTTCGTTTCCTGTTGTTCTTGTACCGATTTTGCATGCGAACGAAATAAACTCCACTCTCATCCAGATTGAAAAGCGGCGTAATTGCGATGCGACTTTTTGCAATAAACAATCAACGAGTCTAGTTGAGCTGCGATTGAAAAGGGTAACAATCGGGTCTTGATGAGTTTTTCAATCGCTTGATTGTAAATATTGCAGTAATTTTATGCATAAATTCGAGATGACATCGTTTTTTGCTGCTTTTTACTTTATTTATAGTAAAAGAATTTCAAAAACTCAGTTCTCGACGTAACATTCTCCACAATTTATTTAATTAAAGTACATGAAAAACCACGATGGAATTGAATTCGCATTCATTGCAAGCGTTTCAACCCTCCGAATACGAAAAGCAGCTCCGTTTAAAAACGAACGGTTCACGCAAATAATACCTTTCAAAATTACATACAATGTATACATCGTTAAATAAAAACCTCATGCATCACGACGTCGTGGCTTTCGCTTTCAAAACGTCGCATGTTTCGCCAATTTAGTTAAAATATTACCACTGGTGACGGCCACATTTTAAAAGCACTGCAGATAAGCGAAAAAAACTAAAATATATCTAGAATAGGGTAAACTTTGTCTCATAGAAGATGCCAAATATGTTCAGATTCAAAAGTCTATCCTAACACCATTTCAATTTCTGTTAATTACAATACGAACTTTACCAACTAAATTAATTAAAGAGTAATTATATACTTTAAGTCACATTTAAATGAGAATAACAAATATTAAGAAAGCAACTATGTTTGAATTATTTCCATTAAAATGTGACAAATGTGATAATAATAAAAATAATAATTTATTGTCACAAAAAGCAATAGAAAATTAATCAATTATTCATTCATTAAATTCATAAATTCTGATTTTGCAGTGCGATGTAGAGTTTAGTTTAAGCCCAAATAACTCGAGAACGGTACATTTTGGCGATATGAAAGAAGAACACCGTTTTTATGAAAAAAAGTTACAGTGCTTTCAATTTTTGGTATCAATAATTAAGGTTAATAGACCGGAAAAACAAATTCCCCAAAAACTAAAAGAACCATTATCATCTTTTTGTCCCTTATCATGCAAAGTTTAATAACAATCAGATAAACGATAACACAAATATTTCCAGAAATAGTTATTTTTGTTACAAGAACCTAAAATAATTTTTTTGCGGACGAATCGTTGCTGTTAACAGAAGAGTCCGCAAAAACGTTTTAGGTACGTGTTACAAACAAAAATTTTTTTGTTAAGGTTCCCAAAAAACAAATTCACACCTCTTATTAATGAAAAAATTCGATACCATAGCAATCAAATTGACTTTTTCGTCCGGAAAAACTATTTTTGGAGACTGAGTACCTAAAATAACCATTCGTACCATACGTACTATTTTATTGAATCCGGAAAAACTGATTTTAGGAACTCAAATGAGTCCCTAAAACAATTATATTCGAAAGCGTATACAAAAATACCGATTTTTGGAAAGCTGTAATTTTTCTATTTTCAATCAACACTTCTCATTTGTAAAGAGGTATTCGTGGTTAAAATTATGCCACACATTTTTAAATCACCCGATATACTCGTAGCAACCAATTTTGCATAAAAATCGTCTTGACAATTACGAAAATAATTAATTTACAAGTATTTGTGGTTTATTAACAATTGCATTAACAAAATACAAATATTTTACGCTGTCTTGGAGTTACTCGCTCGCTTCTGTTCGTTCGTACTCAAAGTTGACTTTTCTAAACTTGTAGCGTAAACAATCCACTTTTTGCATCACAGAAAAGATAATTGTTTACTGCACAATCAGTTACTGTAAAGGTAATGAAGCCCCATGTAGTCAATTACACTGACATGAGGCCATCAACGTTCGATATCAGAGCCACCACCATGCCCGTTATGAAGATATATAGGATTTTCATCGAGCGCACCGGAAGCCATTTAGAACTGCCGCTTTCAGAAAAGTGTGCCTCTTGTTTTCAACATCCAAATCGTATTTCGATATAGAAAATTCCCTTTTTGCCTTCAGATCAGACGAACAACCGACTCCAGTAACTCCTTATCGAACGAAAAGAACACCGAAAGAGACTCAACGGAATACAAAAAGCGATTTGTCGTGCTTTAGTCGACCGAAAATGAAACGATAATTATAAAAGATCGGATTGTACTACCCCGGCGCATCCACCATTATTCAACAATACGGAAAATTCTATAGTATCGCGCTTCATTAAAATATTCGCTCTTATCTATACCAATATCACATTGACAAAGCAATAAAATTGGGTCCATATCACGTGGCGTAAAATTTATGACCCGAAACGAATGAAAAAAATATGCACAAAGAAAAATCAACCTCGCACAGCTGCAAACTTTCCAGACGCGTGAAAAATAAAACATTATTAAATAAGGAAATAAAAATAAATAAATAAGAAAGTTTACCTTTTGGAAATGTCAGCGGTTTACTGATGGGTCTGAAGGGCAAATTATCTGAAACAAAACAAGAAACAAAATAAAACTCTTGCAAACAGAATAAAGCCTCATAATAGTGTTTTGCTTCTATTTTTAGACGCAGAGAGTATTAAAATGTAGCGACGAACCGAAAATCCTTAATAAACGAAAAAATGCAAGCGAAGTGCATTGCTGCGCGTGTAATTCGAAGATGCATTGAATTTTGTAGATATTTTAAGGCAATACAAAATACAATAACGCACAAATTTTTTTTTTACAAACAACTAAAACTAAAACAAACTAAACTAAAAAAATAAGAGCTATTTCCTTATATTTCAAAAAATAAATTCGGTATTTAATTATTGATCCAGGTAGATACTGTCTGCACTCGCTGTCATTTTGCTAAAATTTTGTCACTTTAAATGTAATTTGTGAGAATTATAGTTTCAATCTCGTTTTAAAATGCGTTTTTATTTCATTTTTTGATGCAAAAGCTTTCGAATACCTCACGTTTCCTGAATCCAGATCATCCTCTTTCGTGTCGTTTCAACTTTATCTTACTAGTCGATATTTAACGTGACAAATAACAAAAGCTCCGTACTTTCTTGAAGTAGTCTACTCAAGACATAAAACATTACATACAGCTAAAATAAACTCCCTCCGGAATCTTAAAAGTTACGTTCATTCGTGTTCAGGTTTGTAGTGAATTTCGTAGATTTGTAAACACGGAAAATAAAAAAAAACACAAAAATGGTGGATGCGCCGGGTTAACACCCCCCCACAACCACAACTCTTTGTTTTACAACTAGTATTCCTTACTCGAGCTTTTCTATTGTTAATATTACAAATGTTGAAACTCAAAGCTTGTGTTTCCCTTGATATTTAATCCGACATTCTTGAAATTTAACCAAATGTAACTTAAATAAATATCTTTTTGCATCGTCAAAACGTTCCGACTTATCTCTTCTTGTCACCATCTTTTCAAGTAAATCATTTTCAGTTTGTAGCAACGCTCGACCATCTTACGTTACGTTCTGTCATATTCCGTTTCATTATTGGATACAAATTTGCGTACGTGGCTTTGCTGTAATCGATCTCGAAAGTGCAGGAATCAGCTGTGAAAAGCTTGCTCGAGTTTTCGAGCAATCGATCTTTTTGCATTAAGCTTGAAAGATTGCGGGTAGAGATGTTCAGTAAATTAATAGGCGTCTTCGGCGGTTTCAGCTTTTGTAACGAGAGAAAATAAAAAAAATTAAAATATTTTTCAGCTATTAAAAATAGCAGGTCACAGCAGGTAACATAAATTGAACAAATTTGCTTCAATTAAGAACAAATTGCCAGTTCTTTTATCTTGCAAAAAAAATAAAAGTAAAATACAAGTGCCTTATTTTTTTTACCAAAAGCTAGACTCAACAAAAAAAATAAAAAGTTATATGCAAAAGTGGGTCACACTTTTATGGTAGCAGAAAAAGCTTGTTTTTTTTTACTAGAACATTTTCTACAATTGTTAACTCCATTTTTCCTTATTCTAAAGTGAAATCCAACTTCGTTATGTTTCAACAAAATTTTCCAGCTTCATAATTAAGTATTCATCGTAATTCCTTTCAGTAAAAGCCAAACCAACCACTAAAAGCCAGCTTTTTATTTTTTTAACCCAGGTGCAACATTTGCTGCATTTATGCTTTTAAAACCTGCCCCACTCGAAACCTCTTTCCTATTCAAAACGTGCATTGCTCATTACACTCTGTGGAACTAGCAATAATAATTAATAGAGTGAAATTTCAGCCGTGTGCAAGAACACAGGATGCACTCAATTTACTACCCTTTGATGCGCTTAAATTGAGTGTCTCGCATGTTATTTTAAACCGACAATAATTAATTTTTTAATCGTCTTAAATCACTGCAAAGCTTAAGCCACCCCTAAAATCCGCTTCTTGGCACGGAAGTAATTCAGTGTCACATATGCTCGCCATTAGTGCGGCTTTGGAATAATCTAGCAAACTTTACTACTCTTCTAACACCGGCTAAAGAAGTTCATAACATGCCTGTTGGAGGTAAACGACGTGCTAGAAAACTTAAGCCGTTTTATTCGAACGTTTCTTGAATATTATGTCGAGAAAATTTCTCCCACGGGTTGGAAACTTTGAATAGCTTTGAATCAATAAAAAACAATAAAACGATTCAAGATAATATTTAAAACAATTACAACTCAAAACCACACAAAAATCGGAATTTTTTTATCAGTAATTAGATTCCTGCGACATGATATTAAAACACGATTAAAATTCCTCGAAAACTTCTGAAATACCAACCGGATTATCGATTTTTAACTCAGCTGTGTTGAGGTGAACCGTAATAAAGTGAGATAATGGCGGATTCGAGATGACTCGAATTTTAACACAAATCTTACTTCAATGTAATTTGGATAAAATAGAAGATAATCACGTAGAAATGTGAGAACTTTGATTGTTTTACTTTGTAATATTATGTTTAGAAGAGATAGAGTTACGCGGCTTTCGAAGATTAAAAGAAAACGAAATTAAAATGATGTAATATTAAGAGGAAGAGTTCTTATTGTGCTTTGTAATTTGCTAATTAAAATTAACATTAACGTTTATCCTAATTTACATTATCCTAATAAATTAATTCAATCTAGTCTGATGAAATCACCAGCAGGAAGGGCTCGGCTGCGCCCACAGGTCTTTCTAATTATTTTAAAAATTGCATAAATTAATTAAATTTTCTACTAAAAACAACAACCGCAAAAAAGTTTCATCCACACTCAGGTCTTTCTGAATTTTTGAACATAATAAATACAAAAAAAAAACTTAATTAATTATCTAAAAACATCACATCCACGAAAAGTGTCACAGATCTTTCTAAATTAAAAAGAAAAAACTAAATTACAATAATTTAATTATGCAATTAAATTTATAGTTTAAATGTAATTTACAATTAATTTCTAGAGAAAGAAGTTTTAATTAACACGTGTTTCTAGTAATTCAAATTACAAAACTATAAATTTAACCTGATTTAAGCTCTCTTTCAACAACAAAGCGAAAATCAAAATTTATATTTGCACTTGAAATCAGCTCGTGTTGACGCGACTTTTTCACACCTAGAAAAAAATTTAATTGGATACTTTACACTAATTGAACTGTTCTCATTTTTTAATTAAAAAGCGTATAAAAAAAGAAGGAAACACAAATAATGCTATAGAATTTATTCAGAATTCCAGGTAATTGATTAGTAACATTATCGATCCTTTCCTCCTCGAATTTTGATTCACATTTCTTGGTGAATCCATTAATTTGCAACCATGACCCGTTCCAGTAAACTCCCTAATGGGAAGATGAATTTTTTAAAACTGTGAATTTTCCAGGATTTTAGTTTTTTCCGAGCCCTCGAACATATCTCGTGCAATTACCAAAACGCTTTATGTTTTCGTTTTTGCACGAAACTTTGTTAATTAGAGGATTGCCATTGAAACATTGCCGATATAAAATAATTACAGGACGCTACCGTAACGCGTGCTTTAAATCTGAAACGCTCGTTTAACTAAATTGCGACAAATTGCCGAATTTGCCCACAAAATTACGCACCATTACCACCACAGATAAAAATAAAAAAACGTATTTATACAAACTCCCTCTGAAACCCCCAAAATGACCAACCAAATTTTAAAATAACATTTTGGTAAATTAAATTGTCAAGTGAGTAACCCTTATCCCTTTCAACAGGTTGTAAAATTTCATGAATGCATTAAAACGAAATCGCTTTACGCATTCAATAACTACGATATTCTCTCGCCTTTCTTGAAAAAAAAAAAAACAGAACTAGAAAACCATTACGACGAGCGGTTGCAGACAACTTCTCAGTCTTTAAAACGTTAAATGCAGGCCGAACCGGTGGAAAACAAAGTCTTTTTACTTGCGAGAACTATTAAATGAACCGTTACGTTTTATAGCCTTCTGCTACTAGTATAACTAAAAGTTAGAAAAGCTAAATTAAACTCGGATTGTTGAGGCGAAAAATGACCAAATTCACACTTTGGAAAAGTGCCACGTGAAATTAAAACTCAATTAAGAAATAGCTGCAAGCAATTATTATTATGCACTCATTTTAAAAATGTGAGTCAAAAACACCCGAAAAATTGCGTTATTTGTGCTTTGTGTTTGTCAACATTCGGGACGTCAGTGAACAAGCACGGCATGTGGTTAATTAAACCGACGATTTATTTCACTATTGATTCCCTTTTTGGAACTGAACACGTTTTTCGTGTTAATTGCGTGCAAACTTAAGGTCGAACCTCGTATGCAAATTGTTTACCTAAACTGAATTTTTATCCAGAAAGGATGATTAATATTTTCTTGGATTAAACAATGACCGATATTTTACCGGCTTTGGGCACAATAGAACTGTTTCAATGGTTGGTGACTAGATGTGGAAATGTCCGAAACATGTGTTGCCTTTATCTTGATAATTTTACTCTAATTAATTTCGAGATAATTTAATGAAAATTCTAGAACGGCAATTTACATTGAGTATAATTAGACTAATGTACAAGAAGTCCAGATATTCAAGAATGAAAATAAATTAACAACTAACATAACAAATTTTTACATTTAATTAAAAAGTTTTTGAAAAGGAAAATTATAAGTTCAGTAATTTGTAATAGGAAATTTTCTAGAAATAGCTGACCACAAATGACACTCAATAACCTCGGTAAAACTTGTTACGTCTCTAGCCAACGAAACAGAACCAATTGCATAACGATAATTTCATTTCGAAAGAAATTACATCAATCATAGATAATTCAATCAAATTTTCTTCAAAAAACTATGAGACAATAAAAAGTGTCTCAATTATTACATAGAGCAACATTTTGTGACACAGTGATGGACAAAGTAAAAAATCAGATTTTTCGACTTTTCACAAGTTTTGTAATATTTAACATATCGACTCTCCCAAGGAAAACTATAGTAACTCATAAAAATTGGTTTTTGAGTACCTACGATGGCTTATGTAAGGCCCAAAAT